CATTATCATGAGAATGCAAGGGACATGGTGTTGTGGAAGTAACCATACTGCCTGCTGTGCCTTCATTTATTCATGCCTTGAGGAGAGCTGTGTATTGCCTGCTGTGCCTCTGCCTATGTATCATTTGCATATGTATCACACTGATTTGAGCATTAAAACTTTTGGAAAGAATCAGCACCTGAGTTCATGGACTTTAGCTAGGATGAGCCAGGATACCTGGTGTAAGCAGCAGTGAGGCCGCTGGCAGGAAGTTGGGTGCACAGGTGCTCCTTCTCACCCATCTCTCCTGACCCCTTCCTGACCTACTTACAGTCTCCAGGCATTTAACACCCTGGCTTTGAAATAAGCTGGGATTTGTTAGGCAACTTTAAACCATGGTTTAATGCTGGCTTCTGGCCCTCACTTCTTTAGAAGAATTCAACCATAGTTGTTAGCTCGTGAAACAGAAAGATATGTTCATGTCATGAACCTGTCATGCAGGGTGCACGCTGCTTGCACTGCCTAGAGCTACCCACCTGTCAAATGCGTGACTTTGCAAGTCTCCCTTCACTCCCATTTTAAGCATCAAAATCTCTGGTCCAGAGGTTTCCCACCCATGCTACAAGCATGACAAGCGGTTTGATGGTTCCACCTATCCTAACCAAAACTTAACACTGATAATTGCTCTGGCTTTGCTTCGAAATAGTTTGCCAAAGGTTTTGTTTCATGTTGGAGTGTTTATTTTGCTGAGAAAGGTCCATTGCACTTAGTGACCTTTCCTTTTCCACCCTTTCTCATCCTTCTCTCTTGCCTGAAAGCTTCCAGATCAAAGATAAGCATGCAGATGTTCTTGGCTACCTATCTAAAGCTTCTCTGTTCACATTCATGTTCCATTCAGTGTCCCATTGGTACCAATACACTCACTTCCTCTTGATATCCAAGGAGAAGGAGTTCATAGTTTTAAAAACTGATTTTCCCCTTGAGGAGCATATTGTGGCTCTGTTGAGTGAAAACTGAGCATCTTATAGCTCCACTGAGGTGTCAAGGACTGGCTTCTTTGCAAGTGTTTGCAGATAGGCTTGCACTTTCCCATAGCACCTGGCAACAGGAGGAAAAAAACAATTAAAAAACCATCTTCAAAAAATTTTGGGCTCCACTCCCTAACTGTGCGTCTGGGCTGAAGCAAAGGAATTTACCATGGTCCCTTTGTTACAGAAAAAGACACTCCTTCTCTATTCACCTCCTAAATCAAATATCATGATTCTAGATAGCATTTCTTTCCCCACTTCAGCTGTGCCAGTTATTAAGCCAGGACTTGCTGTCTCCTCTTTCCCCTCCAATCCTACCATAGGATGGAGACTTGGGAATTTAGAGGGCCAGTTATGGACTTGATGCACAAAGAGGGAAAGAGTCTGTCACCCTCTTGGAATAGGAATGGTTCTGTCTGCCCCTGTGGAAGCTGGAGCCCCAAGCTATCTCTTTCTGATGACTTAACTCTAAAGGAATGTGGTGTGTATGAGGCACTGAAGTAACTCCCAGTGTAAAGGACACCTGATTGGCGTGCAGATACGTTTCTGTCTGCTTTGTGAGTGGCTGTGAATGGCAGCAGTGAATGCAACGCCAACCTGAGAATACACAGCCCTTTCTCTAAAAGGCTTCTGGGACGGACTTTTGGCCTATATAGAAGCAGGGTGCAAGACTGGCCATACCCAGCCTCTGACCCCAAAATGGGATGCCTATCATGTTTCTGTATTTCATGTGATAGTGAACCATCTGAGCCATGGGTTGTTGTTTTACAGTGGTCTGCTCCAACGTCTACACGGCCGACATTGTGTTCCTGGTGGACGGATCCTCTAGCATTGGAAGAGCCAACTTCCAAATGGTCCGGAACTTCATGGAGGGGCTGGTTGCCCCTTTTGTCAATGTGGTGGGTGAGAGAGGGGTGCGCTTTGGAGCCGTGCAGTACAGTGATGAGCCCAGGTGAGTCCCAACCTCTCTGCCCTCCAGCAGTATTTGCAGGAGCTGCAAATTCATGGTAGATGGGTCTATCCAATGGCTGTGGCTGTCATAGATGGGACCATCTCTATCAGAGGCAGTTGTATTGCTGAATACCAGGAGCTGAGGAGGAAAAGCAGCAGGGATTCATGCCTTCATGCCCTGCCCATAGGCTTTCCAGAGGTGCCTGATGGATGACTGTTAAAAAGAAGCGGTGTGAGCTGACTCGACTGGCCCTCAGCCTGATTCCAGCAGGGCCTTTCTCATAGTGCAGGTGGCTAACTTGTGACCCTTCAGGTCTTTGTAGTTGGATCCTATCAGCCCTAATCTATATGGCCCAATAGTCTGGGATGATGGAAGTTGGAGTCCACAACATCTGAATCTGGCACCCCCGGTCTTATAGGCTACTATAGAATAGGCCTTCCTCCACCTGTTGGATGTTGTTGAACTCCCAGCTCCCCTCAGACCTTAGCCAGCCAATGGCCAATTGTTGCAGGGTATGATGGGAGTTTCAGACCAACAACATCTTGAGTCCACCATGTTGGGGGAAGTGTTCTAGAGCTTTCCATTGTCATAATGTAGATTTGTGTTCAAAGTTCTTCTGCATTCCTGAGTATGATCCTCACAATGCCCCAATGGGGAGAAGATAGGTGCTTCTTATTCACAGAGCTGACTAATTTAATAGAACTTCTGTAGAGAGCTTCTTCTCAATTAGGCATTTGGCTGCATTAACATTATATGCCTTTTAAAATGTGTCTGTGGGAGGAGGGATATTAGTTTGTTTTGCCTTTGTTATGCATTTTGTGTTTTCATTTTGCATGTTTATGTTGTGAACTGCCTTTGTTGGTCTTTGGATGAAGGCGTTATACAAATTCAGTAAATAATGATGATGAAGTAGTAGTTTAAAGCTGGCTATAAAAAATTGGCTGGGGTCTTTTTTTCCTACTTTCCACCCCCTTTGAGACATATAAAAGAAAACCTGGATTCACAGCATGGTCTCATTTTCCTTTTCTGAAGAGCCAGCCCACTCCACTTAAACACCTGGAGAAACTCCTTAAGAGCACCACTGGGAATTTCTGAAAAACTTTTGGTGATGCACAAGGCTGCTCATAAAGAAAATGGTGGCTCATTCAGTGGATTCCACTCAAGAGATGGGCTGGCAGGTCTGTGACTTCTGCTCCTGCCTCCTCCCTGACTTTTCCTTTCGTTTTGATCCCAGGACCGAGTTACGTTCTCCACATACCGCAATGGGACAGCGGTGATGAAGGCTGTCCGAGAGATGGCCTACAAGTCTGGAACACGCGGACAGGGGCAGGCTTTCGCCATGTGGCAGATAAACTTCTTTTGGAGCCAGTCAGATCCGGCCTAATGTTCAAAGGTACTGTGAGAGAGTGTCTTCTGCTAATCAGAGAGAAGGGTGGCTGGATGAGTGGAAGTCAGTGGTCAAAGCAGCAGGGTATATTGCTGGTGGGACTTCTTAGCCTCCTGGTGGCCTCTCTTTTGGGTTCTGGGCAGTGTTGGAGCATGCATGTCAATGAAAGCTGAAATAATTAGCTATCCCTGTCTTTGGGAAGGTTTCAGAGAGACAGAAGGGGGGGGCTACCTCCAGGCTGTGATGATGCACATTCCTTTAAAATAGGTCACATGCAGCAACCCCTCACCATTCCCCCTGCATCTGAGCTACCCGGCTTAGGTGAAGGATCCAAAAAGTTTGCACCAATGTAAATTCAGAAAGAGGCACTTTGCTACAACTCCTTGTTGAGGGTACCTCCATGGCTTATAACTTTCCCTTCTCTGCATCAGATCTGCATCCTCATCACAGATGGAAAGTCTCAGGATGAAGTTGAGGGGGCAGCTGCAAAGCTGAAGGATCAAGGCATTAAAGTCTTTGCTGTGGGTGAGTGTCTACTGCATTCAGGTCCCGTGAGAGATTGGGACCCAGGAAGGACAACATTTGTGAGAACTTCTCCCTTCCTCCATCCCCCATACAGTCGTATCTTCCCGTAATCTCTGGCTCCTACCATCTGCTCCCTCACCCTGCCGCTGGTTCTCTATATGAAAAAGCAGAGCTCGGTGGGTGATGCTGGTTAACATCTATACCAGTTCCTACTTGCCACATGAGGAGGCCTAGGCAGGGAACAAGGACTTTGCAAGCAGGTGATGAGCCTCCTAGTTTTGTTATCCCTGGCAATCTTCCCTCTCACAGATGGCACATGTACCTGGGGTGAACATGTGGAAGTGGTTGGCTATAGTGAGAGCAGGATGCTGGATTAGATGGGCCATTGGTCTGATCCATCAGGGCTCATTTTATGCTTTTAACATTTTCAAAAAAAAAACCTAATAAGAAGATATAGACACACACACACACCCCAAATGTTATATCTCAACAGTGGTGAATCACATATGATTTTGAATGTTGAACATGTGCAATTGTCCCTTCTTCAACAAGCCATGAAAATATCTTGTGTTGCAGTGTTGGCTGCAGCATCGCATGAGGGTACAGTGCGAGCCTGTTTGGGTCTGTTACAATTAGGAGAGAAATTGGCACAGTCCTTGTGTGGGTTGCAGGCACTGTCTGTACCTGTCACAGCAGCCCTCTACTTAAAGTGCTCACATGGTGGCAAGGGGAGGGCTGTAGCTTGGTGGTAGAACATCTGCTTTGGATGCAGAAGGCCCAGGTTTTAACTCCTGGAATGTAAGGAATTGAGGAAAGAGAATCTCCTCTGTTTGAGACTAGAGAGTAGCTGCCTGCTCATTGAAGGCAATAATCATCTGCCCTTCACTGTAAACAATACTAAGCTAGAGTGACCGATGGTCAGATTTCCTATGTTCTTGCCTTAGCCTGTAATCAAGGGCCATTATGTATCCAGGACTATGCACAGAGAGGACCCAACACTCCAGTGCATGGAAAAGACAGAGGGTTAGGAAACCCCAAAGAAGGGGAAAATGTAGGTTTGAAGGTGGTTGAAGACAATTGCTACCAGAGTCCTCTGTTTCCCACTCAGGCATCAAGAACGCGGACAGCAGCGAGCTGACCAAAGTGGCTTCCACCCCCACGGAGGATTATTTCTTCTTTGTCACTGACTTTAAAATCCTCTCAACTCTCTTGCCGCTGGTGTCACGGAGGGTGTGCACCAGCACCGGGGGCATCCTACAGCCAGCAGGTAAAAGGTTCGGGGTGGGGTGCAGGTGCCGCTCAGCTTTGAAGTGCTGCTTCGGTCCTGATTCTCTCTCTCTCTCTCTGGCAAGGGTTGCAAGGGGTTAATTCCCAGCCTGCCCTGTTTCCATGGAAATGCATCAGCAAATCCTGGAGGAAGCTCCTGATCTAATCAATGTGATACTCCACCAGGAACCCTGACCTAAGCTCAGTGTTGGTTTAACCTCACCCTGCGGGTGGGTAGCATTCAATCTTCTTACCCTCCAGTGCTTGCTGGTGTCAACATAAGTTGCTCATCGTTCTACAAATCCTTTCAGCTTTTTTGTGGGGGTGGGGGGGGAAGGAACTGCTTTTCTGAAATTCTTGGCCTTTGCTCACCTTACCTTCTGGGCCTGTGGTGAGCTGCATGTGCCAGCAAGGATCTTGATTTATTCTCTCTGTTTCCTCCCCTCCACTTTAAGGTACAGAGACATATGGTGGCCCCTCGAATTTGGTCTTCTTGGAGCAGGGAACAGATATGCTGAGGATCCGCTGGACAGCAGCTGGTGGTCCTGTAATAGGCTACAAAGTCCAGTATGTGCCTCTCACAGGCTTGGGGCAGCAAATAACAGCTGAGAGGCAGGAGGTGAGGCTTCCCATTTCAGCGCAGTCCTAGGTGTCTTTTCCTAGCTGTAAGTCACAAAAGGCAGGCTAATCCTAACTCCCCACTGATGGGGACCCTGTGGAGTGGTGGAAACCAGCACCACATCCACAGCCTGGCCACTCATGGCGGGGAAGGGGCGGGGAAAGCCTGGAGTGGATGCAGGGAATGGGACCAACTCCAACCCTGTGAGAGCAGCTTGGGAGCCAGCAGATCCCAGACCAGCTCAGCCCTTCTCTTGGAACACCCTGTTTTAGCGCTTTGTGGATACTGCCAGCAAGTTTTTCCGCCTGGCTGCATGTTTGGCAGGCAGAAGCGGGGAAATCTGCGCTGACAGAGTGACACTTGTGTCTGTCAGTCCACCGGCAGCAACTAGAAAGAGGCCAGCTCAGCTGGCAGAAGCGAGTCGAACAACATCTCTGCTCAGTCCAAGCCCTCCTCCCCAAGCCCAGTGTAAGGAAGGCTTGGATTGTAGCTTAAAACATAAATGATGCATTTTATGTTGTTACCCCTGCCCTCCGGAGGTTTAAACTTAGGGTTGATAAGGAAGTAAATGTTGCAGATATTTTAGTCCAACCACCCCTACATATTGCCATCTTCCCTGGGGGGCGGAAATGAAATGGCTTCAGAATTTGTGGAAATTTTACTTTTTTAAGCACCCAGGAATAAACTTGACCAGAGCTGTGTGTGCATTTACATTTTACTTTTGCACTATTTACCCAGTTTATATGCCCTCCCTTACAAGCTGCAGTTAACTCCACAGAGAGAGAAAATAGAGAGGTCCATGGATCTTGCCTGTGTTTCCCCCCACAACTTTGGGGAGTTTGTGTGATTGGATAGAGATAAGGAAACCAGCGAAGAGAAATGGGTTAACCTGGGCTTGGTGCCTTCCAGATGTTTGGGGCCAACTCCTGATAGGGTCTAGCCAGTGGGAGTTTGGGTCTGAAAGACCTGGAGGGCACCAGGTTGGCAAAGGCTGGGTTAGACACTCCTCCCTCAGTACTGTTGCTCCAGTTGAAACTCAAGGTTCTCCCTCTACCTGTCTTCTGTTGTAGCCCTTTGGCTGCTTCACCCAGGCTTTACTGTCCAGGTGCTAATTTAGTGTAAGAAGTCACCCACACAGTTCACTATGTTATAGGAGGCCACTGGTAGTCATGGCTTCCTCCTTCATGTGCACGCAGTTAAAATGGATACAAGTGTTTTTGTCACACATGACTAGGGACTGATGCATTCGTCATACTATCTGAAGCTATTTTTTCTATTCATTCCTGCTATTGGACAGGTTAGTTTGGGACCTGGTGAGACGAGTACCGTGCTACGTGGTTTGAGGGGAGGCACAGATTACCTGGTGACTGTTATTGCTCAGTATGCCAACAGCATTGGAGAATCCGTGTCTGGCAAAGGACGTACTCGTGAGTAACAACTTCTGCCTCTGATAATCCCATATTTCCACAACTTCTTGGAGACGTTCTGTGTATGCCTCTTTGTGGTGACTCTTCACAAGAGCGTAATTTGTTTGGGTTTCCTTGTATGCATGTGGGCTTTGTGCATTTTCCTGTGTGAGGATTGCTTTCTGTGTGGGAACATGGTAGTTGGTATGTGAGTTAGTGTGTGAGGTGGCCGCATTTGGGACAATTGCAGCAGTAGGAGGTTCAATGAATGGTGCTTAGTCTGTGCAGTTGTAGCCTATTTTTGAGGAGGCTCAGGGAGGAAAAATGTAAGGAGTTGTATCCAACTAAATTTCACTCAGAGGAAACCCATTAAGTGTCCATTTATTTTAATGAGCC